CTCCTCGTGCCCTTGGGGGCTTCTACATGTTCCTCACAATGATCATCCTGCTCCAGGTAGGATACCTCCCTCATCCCTACAACTGACAGTCAGTGCTGACCCCAAGAAAAAAGTAACTAGGCAACGGTGAGGAGATGGCCATTGCTTTCTTTGGGGGTCTTTGAAACTATTCACACTGGAGGCAATGTCAGGACAGCCCTGCCTCATGGAGGGGTAGGAAAAATATTTATTAGGCTTTTCTATGTAAAAGTAAATTTGCAACAATGACACACATGTACCTGTCCCCTTGCCTGATTCGGACTAGGAATGACACTAAAGATCTGGGAACAAAGGAAGATCAAGTAACTACAGTACTCTCCAGCCCCACACATTGAAATGGAGCAAAAACACAAGTTAGTGTTTTGCATTTGTCAGACTGAGATGCAAAAGAAGAGACCACCAGCAAAATGTAAGGCAGTAAGGGATAAAGGATGGAATTTTTTTAATTGGCAGCCTCTGAAAGAAAGTAAAGTCTCTGGAAAGGTGAAAGAGTTTCAATTTTGCTTTAGTGAAGTTGCATCTATGTTAGATTTCTTACAGTGTTTGAGAGTGTTTCAATGCCATCTTGTTGGTGAACCATTTCCAAGCATTCAGTCATCTAGCAGAATAATCCTTTTTAAAATAATCTGAGCACACATCTCTTCTGTACAGAATCTGCCAGTAATTTCTTGTCTGCTCAGAGTGAAACCCGAAGTCCTTCCTGGAACCAACAAAGCTGAGTGATCTGAACCTTCACTCGCCCTGACCACATCTTGTAGCTACCTCTCTCCTCCTCCTCTCTCCTTCTCCTCCCTCAACATCCAAGGCCCGCCCATTATAACCCCCCAACCACCAATTCATTCCCCATAACTCTCCTCCTACAGATAGCTGCCTCACAGCTCACAGCCTCAAGTTCTTCATTCTGTCCAAAGGTCATGGTCTATGAAAGAGTCCCTCCCACCCATCATTCTCTACCCTCTTTAATTTTCTTTTCTCTCTTTTATGAGACATATCACCACCTGATTTGTGCTTATTTACTGTCTCTGAAATGTGAGTTTTTCAAGGCCATGGGTTTGTTTCCGACATGTCCCATTTCCAACACTTAGAACAGCACCCAACACAGAGCAAGCTCTGAATAAATACCAGGTGTTGAATTGTTTGACATCAACAGTGGGTGGTAGCCCTCCTGGCACAGAGATCTGAGGGGATCAGAGATCCCCTAATATGGGATCAATAAACTTCCCATGTTTGCAACCAGTGGTGAGTATCTATCTTGTCCCAGACAGCCCAGGTTGAGCAAGGCCTGTCTCCATTTCAGAATTCCCTAAGAATTCAGTGGAGGCCTGAAGTCACTGACTTTCAATTTCTAAGAAAAAGTCCATCCTGTGAGCCAACTTCAGCTTTCCACAAAATGCCTTTGCTACCCTGTAGTGGGATCCGGGAGCAGGGACCACACTTGGTTTCTGACACCATGGGACTCTATCTCCCCTCAGGTGCTGATCCCGATCTCCTTGTATGTGTCCATTGAGCTGGTAAAGCTCGGGCAAGTATTCTTCCTGCACAGTGACCTTGACCTGTACGATGAAGAAACTGATTTGTCCATTCAGTGTCGAGCCCTCAACATCACAGAGGACCTGGGCCAGATCCAGTACATCTTCTCTGACAAGACAGGGACCCTGACAGAGAACAAGATGGTGTTCCGGCGTTGCACCATCATGGGCAGCGAATATTGTCACCAAGAAAACGGTACGAGAGCTCCAAAGGGCTTCCTTCCCTCTTTTTGAGGTTCTAAGGATTAAATTCTGGGTCTCACACTTGCTAGGCAAGCATTCCAACAACTGAACTATGCCCCTAGTCCTTTTGCTTTTAGTTTACTTTTCATATAGGGTCTCACTAACTTTTCCCCAGGCTGGCCTCCAGAGCTGGGATCCTCCTACCTCTGCCTCTTGAATAGTTGGGATTACAGACATGCATCATCACAACCAGCTCCTCCTTCCCTCTTTCTTAAAGGAAACACCCTGTTCTCCTAAGAGAATAGGAGGGGGAAAAAAAACACCATCCTGACTCTACCTAGAGGCTGTGTGGCAAATGTCTCCTGTATCCCGTGGTCATTCTTGTCACAGATCAGTGCTATCTTATTACCTGTAAGCTGTCATTGGTTTACAAAGTCTTAAGAGATCCCACATGACACCCCTCCAGTCGATATCTGTCTGGTAACTTACAACACAGGGTATTTACATCAGGAATGGACTGGGGACATATTTCAATTGTATGCCAGGCATACAGCCAAGATTTAGGAGTTTCTAATGCCACCTTACCTGACATGCCAGGATAAATCTAGATCTAGGTGCATGGTTAGAACTGACACAGCAAATGCCTTCCATGCTAACAGGGTCCCTTAGATTTTCACTAAGGCGATATTTAGATTTAGGAGATGGGGCTAAAAGATTCCTGAAGTATTATTTTGCATGCACTGAAAGTGGCCCATACACACACACACACACACACACACACACACACACACACACACACACACACACATGGGAAAAAACCTCAGGGGAGCAGCATTCATTCTTTTGGGCAAAAGGGATGAGGTAAGAGAAAGGAGATGTTACAGGTAGCCCCACCCTGTGCCATGCTGATAGTTTATCTTTCACGTGGAAGCTTCTTTCTCTTTTTAATAATAATGATAGCTAACATCATCAGTAGTTAGAGGAAGCTAATCACTTTCACACATTATGTCAGATCTTCTAAGCAATTCTATGAGTTAGATACTTTCTCAAACCCCTAAATGAGAAAACAGAGATACAAGTTAAGTCAAAGCTCTAAGTCACATAACTAGAAGATAGTAGAGCCAGGATTTGAACCTGTAGGACAGTCTCAGTAGCTCCCCTACCAATTTTCCATAGCAGCATAGACCCTTTCCATGTTTTTGCCCCATCCCCAATATCCAGCATCTCCCCAGTCATGGCCCAACCAAGGTGTGACAAGACTCTTTTCTTTCAGCCAAGCGACTGGAGACCCAAAAAGAGCTGGACTCGGACAGTGAAGAGTGGACCCAATATCAATGCCTGTCCTTCCCAGCCAGATGGGCACAGGGCCCAGCAATGATGAGAAGCCAAAGAGGTGCCCATCCTCTAAGGAGGAGCCAGAGTGTCCGAGTGCCCATGCAGGGCCACTCCCGACAAAGGTCTGTGGGGCGCTGTGAAAGCTCACAGCCCCCTGTGGCATTCAGCAGCTCTGTTGTAAGTCCCTGCCTCCCTCTTTGAATTGCAAGCGTCATATTGTAGGAGGGGAATGGAGAGGACCCTAGGGGTGAAGGGAAAAAACTGTATAAATCTTTAAGGACTCTTAAAATAGCAGCCCCAGGTCCTCATGCAAGCACATGGTATTTCATCAGTATACACAATTCAGGTTAATTTCAAATGTTCCGTGTTTAGAAATTGGGAGATTTCATCTGAACTTAGAGATTTCTTGCTTCTTTTAAAAATGGAATTGGAAACTGTTTCCACACTAAGGCAGTAACTGGCTTAAGGAGTCTGTGCGGCTCAGCCTGGGCATGCAGTCTTCATCACATTTCCCCTCCCCCACTACCCTCCTTCTCTCTTTATCCCCATCACAGAGCCCAGAGCAAGCAGCATTCTCATTATGCATGTTTTTCTAACTATATGGTTACGAGAAACAAGAAATATTTGTTATAGTGTTGAAAGACAAAAGAAAAAGCTTTGCGCATTTGAAGAAAAATGAGAGAGAATATATTTTTAGTGGAATTCAAAAATCGTAAATGGTTATAAAGCAAAAAAAAAAAAAAAAACACCTATGTCAAAATTGCCAAGCCTACTTCATTCTCTTAGATTAGCTGTATGACCCATGTGGGCATTCAAGTTTGTGACTTTGGTCTGGGGCTTTTTGCATGGGGTCCCTTTAGATCTGACTCATTAGAACAGCTATCAGTGAACATTCAGGTAACAATGAAGACTTTGAGTTCATTCCCCAAGATTGCACAGCAGTCCCTACAAGTCAAGGCCAGAAGTGGGGTCTTCTGACTCCAGTCCTATTCCTCTTTCATCTACACATCCACTTTCTTCAGGGAATATGAAAACACATAGTTTAAAACCTTCTGCACTTGCAGAAAACACCGCAGGAGCCCCTACTATCCACATCCTAACAGATGGGCACTAAAGGGATTTTATTCCACGATTAGAAAACTAGATTTTTTAAATGATCCTTGTGGTCAATCTTTTTCTAGTCTTTAATTTCTGCCATGATACACACACACACACACAAAAAAAATAACTATTTGTATTTAACGTTTTGGGCAATCATAGTATATATTGATTGTAAATGTCAGATTATTTTACCCTAACATGATATCAAAAGCATTATCCATATTACTACCCAGTATTCATAACCCAGGACTGGCATTCCTACTGTGCCAAAGAAGAAATGCGACGAATCTAACTTTGGTAAACACACAGCTAACTCTCTTCTCTTACATCCTGCATAGGAACACAGCAGTGATAAACAGGACAGTGTGTTAGGACGTATGGTCCTCCCACACACCCAAGAGAAGTGATCCTTCCATGTCTTGGAAAGATTGTTGTGGTTATTCTTTTTTCTTTTTGTTCTTTGCAAGTAATAGAACAACAGGTCAAGTCCATTATCACATCTTTCTCTTCTTTAATTCTGTCCCCTCTTCCCCCAACTCTTTACCTAAATATTTTTAAAGAAATTCAATGAATCCTCATTCAATGTAGATTCTGTGTGTCTTTTGGCACCTTGCTGGGTGTGGGGGATGTGTACATGTATCAACTGACTACCCCCTATCCAGCCTCTCATGTCATAGCAACTCTAAACAAGACAGTAGAGATTTTATTATTTTAGAAACAGGGTTTGCTCTGTTGCCCAGGGTGGTCTCCAACTCCTGGGCTCAAGTGTTCCTGTATCAATTTGATGCAGAACCCTTAGCTAATGGCTGGTGCACAGGACATAATAACCCCTCAGCTCCCTCCTGATCCTGGATTTCACCATCACTTTGTCCATTTGCCAATTTCAAAGACAAGTCCCAAGTTCACTGAGGAGCAATAAGGAAACTGACACATGAATTAAGACTCAGTTCTTGTCACATGTGAGGTGGGGATGGTGACGTGTTCTCTTTATGAACAACTAAGAATGCTGGTGTAGAGTAGGTTGCTTGAAAATTTGAGGGCTTGGCAAGACAAGGTGATTTATGCTGCCTCATAAGGCTCTGGTGTGGCCTCGAAACATCTCAGGCTGGCGTCAAGTCCTGGAAGTAGTCCCTGGAAACTTCTGTGGCAGCCCCTGGTGGCTCTTTGGGTGTCACCCCCATCCACTCATGGCAGGACCCTGAGCTTTCTCCTCTTCCACCTGCCTTATGTACCTTGTTCCACCTGCCCATCTGGCACCCAGTCTGGTTTGATAAACTCTCACAACCACCCCTCCTTCACCTTTCCTTTGTGACCTTGCCTCTGAACCACCCAGGGTGCCAGGTCTTGCCACCTCATTCTCAGGAAGCCAACTGTTGGTTTCCTTGGCCTTCGCTCTAAACCAAAAATAAAACAAGAATCAAAAGGAACAACAACCAAAGCTGGGTTTTCTTTGACTATCAAAAATAAGGACGTATCAGTGATTATCTCCTAATTGCCTGCTGTAAAACCTGTGGTTTTTAAGGTGGGTGATAGACTTATGAAAATGGTGAGCACTCAGCCAATGTTTAATAGCACTGACAGATGGAAAATAAAATCCCTTCTTTTTTCCTGATCTGTAAGCAGTCAAGATTTGGGCAGAGTCTTGTTTAGAAGAGCCACTTCAGAATGTTTTCCAGAACCACCAAATCAAAGAATATCTTCCCAATCGTGGAATTTATGGCAGGTGCCTCCAATCTTCTCCACTACTCCTTCTGTGGCCACATCTCCCACTACTCCAAGAATACAGAAGACTGGAGGGAAGGAGGTGTCACTGGCCCTCTGCCTCCTTTCCTTCACTGTGTCCTTTCTTCCTTTCTTTGGAAATGACTCATGCAGCACACAGGTCTGCTACAGATTGGAGGAACAGCCCACATATACACACTCCCACTGTAAGGTTAGATAAGAGGCCTGATTTAATTAGCCAAGTACAGAAATCTTTGTGGGAGATAGTGACCATGCAGGGCAAGACAAATGAGTCCTGTTCAAATTGTGCTTCTCTTGGACCCCAGGGTCCCTTCCCCAGAGGGAAAGGGGGACACAGAGCCACAGTGGCACTGCTCACAAGAAGTAGAGTCTGACAAGATCTGGAAAAGGCCCCTCTTATGTGTGCACACTGAACTTTCCCTGGACTTCTGTTGCATTTGAGAAACACTTGTCCTAACAATCCATGTGCTATTTAAGTGAATGTTAAACAACATTGGGCTTTCCCAGTTCTTCATCCAAACTAAATATCATCAGGACAGGCCACTGCTTTGGACAGGGCAAAATCATCACTACCTTGAACAATATTTTAGCTTTCAACTCTCAGCAACCAGGAAAGTCTGTTTCATACTATTAATACAACCATATGGTCAAGTATTTAAAGAAAATCAAAGGCCAAATGGTAAAAAGGAAGTGTCTCCCTCCTCTGTCCCCCCACAACCCAGAGACAACTGACAGCAGCAGCTGCCTGTGCCTCCCTCACCCAAGGACCTTTCCTACAGGGAAGAATTCCTACCCAATGTACACATGACCTTGACTTTCACCCAGATGGAAGTATAGCCTATAGAGTTTCAGACTTGACCTCCTTTAAAAACTTTAATCTTAGAGAATGTTTCCTATATATAGTCAAATGGGTAGAAATTCAGGGGAGAACTACCTTATTCTTTTAATGGCTATGGACGGTTGAGACACTATGTGTCTACACGTGTATATGAGTTAGTTCTTACAGCATAAATACTAAATTGAGAAATCTGTGCATTTTTTTACTTGAATTTTTCCCAAGATGTTGGACCAGTTGAGACACCAACAACAAACAGGATAGAAGGATCTACTTCCTCCCACCTCTGCTAATTCTATATGTGGTCAGTGTCGACATTTCTTTAGAAAAGACTTTCATTTGTTTGGCAAGTTGGTCAGTCAACAAATACTCAGTAAACATTTACTATAGGCCATATACTGTGGTAGATAAGGGCAGTGCCCTTAATTTCAGGAGCTTATAGCCACTGAAGGAGCAAGTGGAACACCAGTGACTGTGTCTCAGTGCTCTCTATGCTTGGACAAAACTTACAAATGTATAATAAGAGTTCGGCAGAGGGGCAGCTGCAGCCTACTGGTGGCATCAGGGCTCCTTCCTGGAAGAGGAGCACCTGAGCTGACTTTGAGGCAAGATTAAAATTTAACCAGAGGACCAAGAAGACCACCTAGTGGGGAGGGGCAAGGAGTGCATATTGTTGCAGGAGAAAATACACGTGAGCAAAAAGAAGCATTTGGACTTCTCAGAAGTATCTGGAATGAGTGTAAAGGAGGGATGGAGACATGGAAGGAGCTGTGCCATAAAGGATTGACTTCCAAGCCTACGTGCTGGGCAGTCCTCATTTCCACCAACTTGGGTAGTTCCTATAGTTACAAGCAGCACCCAATCAGATGACAGTTCCAGTGTGAACTTGGTGACTCATAAGAACTGAGAAATGAACAGAGTGGAGCGTGACCTACTTTTTCCCAGTCTTCAGTGTAGGAACATATCCCATCCAGAAAGGAAGTGGAACCAATAGGCAGACCCTTGCTGTGATCCCCAAACCAGGAACACAAACACCCTCTAGCAGCATGTTAAAAATGGAGCTCAGGTTCCCTTCCAGATCTGATGAATTCAAATCTCCCCTTTAATAAGATGCCCCATTGATTTGTGTGTGCCTTATAGTTTGGGAAGTGCTGACCCCGTGTACAGGGACTCAGGCTTTGGCATCAGGAGAACTAGATTCAAGGCCCAAAACATTATTTGTGACTTTGTGACCTTGGACAAATTACTTAGCTCCAGTGAGCCTCACTTGCCTCATAATTAAAATGGGAAATGACAGTCACTACATCAACACTGTTAGCCATGATTACGTGGTACACGTGAACACGTTTAGCAAAGGACCTGCCCTTGTGATCCTTTTGTCAATAACTGTAATCTAATGATAATAAGACTTGCATGTGAGCTCTGAGGTCACCTTCCTTGAAGGGGATTTGTGTGGGCTTTAGGTGTTCTAGAATAGAAGGGAACCGGTTGCATTTGAGTATTCGGCTGCCACAAAGCTCTGGTGACCCCTTTGAATTTATGTTTGTTTTCCCTCAGAAAGCAAGACTGATTAAGGTGGTGGTATATGGTAGATGGACTTCATATATCTATATAAAACTTAACCAAGAAGCCTCTTGCAACTGCTTTCAGTGGAGCAGGGAGGGGCTTGAGGGGAGAGATGATGAGGATAGTGTAACTAATGTACAATATAAGTCTGATCAGAACTGTCACTATGAATCCCCCCTTGTGCAACAAATATAGCCTAATAAAAAATTTATAAAAAGAAAACAAGACTGGCCAAGGGGCTAAAGACAGAGGAGCTGCCTTTTTCTAAGTGCACTTAGGGCCAAGTTCCTAAATGTTAATGGACCACACAGGAAACCAGTCAGCTAAAGCAAAAGAAGCCCTGAGGACCCTTGCCATGTGGAGGAAGGTATGCAGTGACTGGATAAAGGTGAACTGACATCTACTCCTGGCACATGTAGACTGGGTGTGCTTCCAGGAAAGAGAGGTAGGCCCTTCATGGAGGAACCTTTTGTTAACACATTACAATATGATTGAGTGGAAGTAAATTAAAGAATAGTTTTAATGAAGAAATATCAAGAGTTAATCAGTGGTGAGGCAGAGAAGTATACCAGAAAGGAGTCAATCAACAAATGTTTTATACAACTGTGATCTGCCAGGCCCCGGGGACACATCAGAGATGATCTCTGTCCTCGTGGCACTGGAGTGTAAACCAACATGGAGTGAATAACTGATTTTGTCATGGTGACCATTGGAAATGCATAATACACAGCTTGGAGCCAAGCAGTGCATTGTCAGACGCAGGCAGGTGGAGGGAAAGCTGTCCTAGTTCTGACCCTGACTCAAAGCATGAGCTCAAGTTCCCACCCCTCCTCTCTGGTTCTGTTTCATCATTAGGAAGATCGAGGACTTGGCTTTGATGGCCTCCAAGTTTATTCCCCACATCTAGGTATCAGTGGTGAGGTTTAACAGCTTCCCATTCATGTTACTCACCTACCCCCAAAAGAAATCTCTTTTCTGGAAAAAGACTACCACAGTACTCTTTATAATCCCATAGCCTGTCCACAGAACCCATTCATTGTGTCTGGGATGTCAAATGCTGGCTGTCAGCAAGTCCCAAAGGCCACTCCCTTCTTCTAGAGAATCTTGCCTAGTACAGGAGTTAAGAGCAGGAATTCTAGAGTCAGACGATCTGGAAGCAAGGGAGTTGCAGATGGTCACACCAACTGTGTGACCTTGGGTAAGACACTTAACTTCCATGGGCATGAGTTTCCTCATCTGAAACACAGAAGTAACTGTAGGATAACAGCACCCCTAGATAACGGTACTGCATGGATGTAACGGATGTACTTGGTACATAAGAAGCATAACGTGGATACGAGATTGCAGTGTTATCAGAAATGGGCTCAGAGCTTTTGGGGTGGGGTTAGTGAGCTGATGAGAGGCTGGACCCGGGAATCTGGTTGCAGGAGTTTGCTGTGGAACTCTAATGAACTACCGTCCCATAACCACAGGCAGGGAGACCTACATTAGCAATCCAGAGATCTGAGCTCTGATTCTGGCTTTACACTGACTCACTGGCAACATTGGTCAAATCAGCCCATCTTTCTGGTTTTGGTTAAGATGGTATTAGTTTCATCTCAACTTGGTACTGTGAGAATCCCAGGGGCCACATAATGGCGTTGTGTGGGAAGGTAGGAGGAGCTGTGTAAAGGTGAGCTCCCATTATGAATGCTGTACTCAAAGGCAAAAAAGGATGAATGATGCCTATTCCAAAGGGATGGTTCAAATGGAAACGTCTACAAAGATGTGGAACATTGGAGACCTAGGAGTCAGATCCAGTTCGGAGAGTAAAGCACACAAACAAGCAAACAGCACAGGTCTGTTATCTCTGCTTTATTCTGAAACATCAGGGTACTTGGTACAGACACCAGCAATGGAGCATTTCACCAGGTAAAGCAGCATCTTGCTTTAGGTTCAGTACAACTAGCCAGATCCACAGCTCCTACCATCCCAGGTCCTCAGCTGTGCCTTGGCCCACTTCCCTCATTTACCTTACGTGCCTGTGGATACTCTCAGTTCAAGAACTTGTGATTATGGCTCAGAAAAAAAAAATCATTGTGAGCTGGATAAAAATCTCATGGACACATGACACTTCTCATGGTAACTGATGTGTGGATAAGATTTTGGTGGATGGTAGAGGATTTTTCAAAGTGGGATCAATGGCACAAAAAGAGAACTTACCTTTCAGAACTCAGCAAAGGAACCACAAGACTGAGTGGTCGTGGGAGTAAAAAGTAAAGGTGTAAACTGTGAAAGAATCTAGATCCCAGATGAACTGATCAAGCTAACAGCGGAGAGCTGGAGACTTGCTGAAATCAAGAGTGCCATGGAGGGAAGTGAAGTGTTAGGAATGTGAAGGGTGTGAGAAAGAGAGATGAGAGACAGCAACACTGGCTGGCGCAGAAATGCAAGATGGAAGGTTTAATGGTCTGAGCATGGCTGAAAACAGCAGAACTGGGAAAGAAATGGTGAGAAGACACTGGGAAAGAAGAACTTCCAGGGCCTGGTAGCTGATGGATATGTGGAGTTGATTGACAGGGAGGAATCAATAAAAACAGCAGTGATCAGGACCATGAGAGAGAGAAATGTTTGAGACTGCAAAGTATCTCCTGGAAGGAGATCCCTTCAGGAAAGACTCTCATGAAGGCCTTTCTCTTCCAGGAAAAAGATGTGACTCCAGATAAGAACCTTCTGACCAAGGTGCGAGACTCTGCTTTGTGGCTGGAGACCTCATCAGATGCCAGACCTGCCAAGCCTTCCCACTCCACTACCTCCTCAATTGCTGACTTCTTTCTTGCCCTAACCATCTGCAACTCCGTCATGGTGTCCACCACCACTGAGCCCAGACGGAGGGTAAGGATGGGCTGGGGGTGGAGGGGAAAGGAGGTAGGGAAGCAGAGGCAGAGGGGCAAAGAGAGAAGCCTTGATGAAAGACATGATCCTTGAGTCCTAGCCACACTGTCACCATTCCATCACTGTGAGGCCTGAACAGGTGCCTTATCCTTTCTGGGTCTGTCTCCATTTTTTTAAAAATGAGCTGTCCGTGCAACTTTCAAATTTTGTCAATGCCTACAGAGTAGATATTAAGTCAATGTGTACTAAGCCTTTGCCTATGTGCCAAGCCCCATCCTAAGGACTTTATCTCCATTCCCACTCAATCCTCACAACCCCAAAACTTCTGAGATATGTTTTTGGATTTAAACGGTGAAGAAATGGTGAGTCTGAGAACTTGAGTGACTTTAAGTAAGGGAGTATGGTTAATACAACAGAAACCATCTGTATGACTCCATTATGGTTCCCAATACTATCAAGTCACATTGGTCCCTGCCTTAATATAGGAGTTAACAATTAAACTGTGTGCAATGTTCTTCCCACAGAAATAATGTACATGAATGGTCATTAATGGGAAGTTAGACTTGTCTTCAGTTATCTACAAACTCAGTCAAGCTCCCTTGTTGAGTCACTGGCAAGAATTCCTAGGTGGTACAATTTTGTGGCTATAAAATCAAGAAAAGAGGGCACAAAACCACAACCTCTCCTTAGTATACCCAGATTCCAAATCACCCTGAAAAGTCACTTTAGCAACAGAAAAGTCACCAGGTAATAGGAAGTTTTCAAGAGAGATTTGAGAGGCAGTTGGCAGTACTTGAGAAATTAACTAGTTTTGAAGAGGCAAGAAATACCATTTTGGAAAAGACAGCCCCTAACTTTCAACTTCCATGTTACAGAGGATGCTTACATTGGCAGACAGTTCAGGAATCCAATCTCTGAAATTAGGCAGATCCAGATCTGAGTCCTACTTACACATGGAGATCATAGTCAATTGATTTACCTTCTTGGTGCCTCAGTTCTCCACATATTGATGGTATCCTGCAAAGTTTGGGGAAGATGAAATGAGGTACTTCACACAATGATAAAACAGAAAAGGTTATGGTCAGAGTTCAGAGGATGTGAACTCTCATCGCAAGTTATACGTTCTTGTCTTTCCTTGGACCATGAGCAGAGTAGGATGCTCAGAAAATAGAGGAAGATGAGCGCTATGGACCTTAGAGTGTTCCTCACTTTATGGCTGGGTAATCTGCAGCTCACAGAGGGGAGGAGACTTGCCAAGATAACAGAAGCCCAAAGAATCCATTTACTGCAAAACTGCCTTCACCTTCATAGTCTGCATAAAATAGCTTGATATTATTTCCCAAGTTTAATATTGAACTTCCCTCCTTCGAGCACAGGTCACCATCCCACCCTCCAACAAGGCTCTGGGGACATCGCTGGAAAAGATTCAACACTTGTTCCAGAGGCTGAAGCTCTTGAGCCTGAGCCAGTCCTTCTCATCCACTGCACCTTCTGATGCAGACCTGGGGGAGAGTTTGGAGCCCAATGTGCCCACCATGGACTCAGATGAGAAAGATGACACATCCGTGGGCAGTGGAGAGTGCTCCACTGATGGTGGCTACCGGAGCAGCATATGGGAGCAGGGTGACATTCTGGGCTCTGACTCAGGTGCTTCCTTGGAGGAGGGGCTGGAGACCCCAGTTCTTGGCCTGGCTGGACCTGAGCTCTGTTACGAGGCCGAGAGCCCTGACGAAGCAGCCCTGGTGCATGCTGCCCATGCCTACAGCTTCACGCTGGTGTCCCGGACGCCCGAGCAGGTGACAGTACGCCTGCCCCAGGGCACCTGCCTCACTTTTGACCTCCTCTTCACCCTGGGTTTCGACTCTGTCAGGAAGAGGATGTCCGTGGTGGTGAGGCACCCACTGACTGGTGAGATCATCGTCTACACCAAGGGCGCTGACTCAGTCATCATGGACCTACTGGAAGACCCAGCCTGTGGTAAGTCCTGCCTTCCTAGGCTCAGAAACAGGCTGTGTAGCCTGACAGGCAGTGTGGAGTGGTAGTGCAAAGCTCAATTTATACTGTCCCCTATCCAGTGAGTCCCAAACTGGACTGTAACCCATAAGATGCTCTTAAAGAAAGGTCCTTAAAACAGACTGCATCTTACATGACTTTGACCTGAGCATCAGAATGCTCACTTGCATACTAGAGACTGCAGTCTTCCAGTAGAGAAGCCCCTTTCACTTCACTTATCCCAGTTTCCAGTTTTCCAAACACATTTAAACGTGTATTATTGCCACCCAATTTTCTTTACATCCCAACATCCATTAACTGAACCGTAGACCATGCATGGTCCTAGCTTTTCACTTTGGAGCGAAGTCAATGTAACACAGGAAAAAGTTCCTGAGGAAGAGATAACATGGTTCACTAGCATGAAATCCTGAGCCCAGGTATCCCAAATCCAAGTTCATTGCTCTATTCCTGCTGCCAGAGTTCTGCACTGGGCTCAATTCACTCTGGGAAGCCTCTAGTGGCCCTTTTCATCATCCTTTTTCCCCAGTCTCCCCCAGATGGACTGAGCCAGAAAAATGTTCCAAAGTCTCTGCATATCAGTGTCCAATTTTGGAGCAGCATGAGTTAGTGTGCAGCCACCTCCTGGTTGCTAACAAGGAGAAGACAGTTATGGGGCTGTGATTCTCCCAGGATGGTAGATGCCAGCCAAGCTTTAGAATCGCCCAGGCAGCCCTATGCCTCCTGCATTGTCAGCTGTGGATCAAAGCCAGGAGCTGCACGGGGATTGATGCATGTTTAGAATGGGAAGGGAGCTAATTAGTTCTCTTCATCCTCACGTTCTGGCAGACAGTGAATTCGGTGCTTCTCAGCCAGGAGACCCGTGGCTCTCCATCTCTGGCAACAGCCATCCAAGTTGCCCTGGAGATGTTTATCCCTTCTTCATCAGATTGCACAAGGGACTGGAGATGCTCCCCATAAAAGATCCACGTACAATGTTACTTTGAAAGGAGTGGGAGTGGAGGGAATCCCCCTAGCTTTAATGTATTTACAGAGTTTGAATACTCAATTTGACCCTGAGGCTCTTGGCAGCCTGAGCAAAAAAATTTAATTCAGCGGCTCAAATGTGGAGGACCAAAGGGTTCATCTCAGAAACTTTGGAAATAAAATCTTGTTAATAGTGTTGATAAGAAAATGTGAAAGTGAAGATTGTGCTTAAGGCACCTGAACAATGGGAAAGTAATATTTGGAAGGATTTTTATATTGTATAAAAATAGCCTTGGAGAAATGTGATGGAAAAAAAAAATCAGAGCTCTTCTGGGTTTCTTTACACTCATCTCACTGTTAGAAATTAGGTTTTCAGTTTTGTATTGTATGCAGTGATGAGTGAGAGGTACAGATTCTGTTCACTCCTTAGGACCTCTAAAAGTCTCTCTCTACCCAGCCCAGGTAAAGAAGGATTCTGAGGATTTTTTCCAAGTTTGGCTTTACAGAGAGTTGCTATTAATAAGTGATACCTGTGGCAGGTTTAGCTAAAGACGTGATGGCATCAGTCCTGCCCCACAGCAGCCAACTCAAGGCTTAAAAATCCCTTCTTATCTGCTAGTGAAAAACACTGGAATTTCAAGAGAGAAAACATATTACTTCTGAAAAAATGTATTGTGTATAACTTGAGAAGAGAGAATTTTACTGCATCACTTTGAAATATTTTTCACACTAAATTTACAGAAAATGTAAACTATTTTTTTCTAAGACCATCTCTTACAGAGCTAATGAGATCTAGCCTTGTAGCTGTCTCGGGACTGAGTTGGTGCAAGAACTAAAGCAGGTGACAGAGGGTAATGACTGGTCTAAGTCTTAGAGAATAGTTTCTGAAACCATTTGGTCATCCAGGACTAAGCTGGCAACAGGGAAAATACCTTAGGTAACAATGAAGATTTAGACTTCCCTGATTCAGTAAGGCTGAGATTCTCTATTATTTGATGAATTTCCTACATGAATGTCAGGCAAGAAGATATCCTGGCCTCCTCCCTTTCTGTTTAAATAGCATTTTTTTCTAGCCAGGTTTTTGACAAGATGTAGAGAACAGACAGCATAAGGAGTCCTGGAATTATCATCTTCCAGGGAAGCCCAGAGAGTTCATTCATGTTCCCAGGGAGGGTTCTAAAGGAAACCCCCTCCTCTAAAGCAGTCAGTTGGGAAGTCCCCAGGGTGCTAAGCGTGTGTACAGGGCTTCATGGGAAATGATGACTATTTGACAGTGACTGACATTAATGTGGAAAAGAAGCTGAAGAAAATCCAAGCCCGGACCCAAAAACACCTGGACCTGTATGCAAGAGATGGTCTACGAACCTTATGCATTGCCAAAAAGGTAAGAGAAAATTCCTCATCTGGAGGCCTGCTCCTGTCATCAGGGACTGGAATGGCCCTAAACCTGCTTTGATCTTTGTCTTTATAAAATACCCTAGTGTGGGTTGTTTTAATATTTTCAATATTAGCTATTCTGACTTGCCACAAGACTATGACTTTGAAAAGTTTGAAACCAAAATCTGGTCAAGATGCCCTATCAGTGTGGTTTTACCATTCTCTGCTTTTCGGTGGAATGGGTTAGGAAAACTTTAGGTACTTCGTAATTTTAACATTATAATTTTTCCTTTTAAATTTGCATTATTTGCCTGAATTTAAATTGGGGAGCTTTTATGTGTTCACATAAAAATCTAGATTTCTGGTTTCTCTTGAGAATTCAGAGCATCTGGCCAACTGGGGCTCCACTGAATGGTAACAATCAGCTACAAACCATGTGACAGCTGATCCCTTTGATGAGGGCTACGGGGTGCATGCAGCTGTGCCCTGCTATCGGCCCAGCTCTGGTCATGTAGATTACCCACAATCTAGTAGGAGTGCCTCGAGGAGCACACATTTCTAGGTGGCTAAAGTGGTTCCCTCCATAAATACCAGGGCTCTTCATCGTTTGTGTTGGTTAGTGCTGCATAGAGATTAAGAGTGCTTGCTCACCTGGCTACGAGTGCTAATCTCACCACTTTTAGATGCATTTTCCTCACCTGTCTGAGTTTTATCTGCAAAATAGTGCTAGTACTCCCCCGTCTCATACAACTAACACATGTGCAGTGCTTACTCATGTATATTCTGTCTCCTCTAACAGACGGTTCATTCCTCAAATGGCCTGTGTCCCATTGGTTTTGGTGGGACTGGGGTTTGAACTTGGACCACGTAAGCCACACCTCCAGTCCATTTTGCTCTTGTTATTTTGGAGATGCAGGTCTTGTGAACTCTGGCCAGGCTGGTCTCAAACCATAATCCTCCTGATCTCAGCCTCCCAAGTAGCTTATAGTACCATGCAGAGAGACTCAAGGAATATTTGGTCCTTACACAAAAGAACCAGTTTTAAGAAAACTACTACAGAATGCATGCAATGTCAGCAGAAGTCTCTAACCGCCCTGAGGGGCTCCAAGGAAGAGACATGGTGCCTCTGCGTGTTTAACGCCATGCCTGACCAAGTGTCTCCAGGCTATGCAAAATATGGCTGCTGGCTTTCTTTCTAGCTTCCTCTGGGCCTTCTGGCCTTGTATTCTAGTCTCCCGCTTTCTAATGTATTCAAGGAGTAGAAAGAAGGCCTACGCTTGCTCTTTGCACAACTGCCCTTTCTCATCATTAGGTCTTAGCTTGCAGGTAAAAAACATTCGACAGTAAGCAGCCCCCTTCTGCACAGTTGTTCTCATTCCCCATCGTACTTCATGATGTCATCCTTTTTATTATCTGCACTGCACTCCTTGAACTAATCTAGTCTTTCATTTTCTTGGCTAATGTCTCACCCTCCACCAGCATACAAGCCCAGGGACTTTGTCTTGATCATATCCAGTGCCCCGAACACAGTAGGGACTCAACATTTGGTGATAGTGGAACATAAGGATTAATCTTTCATTGATTTATGCATTTGAAAACTCCCAACTGAGAAGTTCCCAGCAAATTATGTAATTAAATTCAAATAGGCCCACAGGAAGGCCCCACAGATGGGGAAAGGGGAGGAACTACATGTGCTGACCCACCCAAGGTTGTTAGCAGGTCTCTTCCTGTCCCATAGGTCGTAAGTGAAGAGGACTTCCAGAGATGGGTCAGTTTCCGACGTGAGGCTGAGGCAGCTCTGGACAACCGAGATGAGCTTCTAATGGAGACAGCACAGCACCTGGAAAATCAACTCACCTTACTCGGTAGCTAAAAATAAGCCATCATTACAGGAAAAAGAAGAATGGTATAAGATAGGGACTTCTTGGCCCTGATTCTGACAGTACTACAAATTTGTCTCAATTAGCAGCCTTCCCTAGGTGCCCTCCCAGATACTTGGCGTAAGTGGGGCTTGCCTGCACTCCCTGCTGGAGGAAGCCTGTGAGTTCGACTTTCTCCAACAGCACTCTCCTCTGTCCACTCACATGTCTGCTGGACACCTATGTGCCCAGTAGCATGCTAGCCTTTGCAGCTCCAACAGGAAATAAGAGCTCTTCTGCCTTCCCAGAGCTCAGAGTCTAGCCAGGACACTGGATGATGATAAGGCAAGTAATTTCATCCTCAGAAAGTGAGGAGAGCTGAAGTGGAAAATAAACCAGATGGGACACGAGCGCTAACTGAAAGGAAAGATGAGCTGATCAGGCAAGGAGGCAGAGAGAGGGACCCAAGGGAAAGCTGCAACAGAGATCTGTGTGGCTGGACCATAGAGTAGGGGGAAGAATTGATGGAAGGTGAGAGAGGTCAAAGCGACCCAAATTATAAAAAGGGCTGGGTAAATCATATGCTAAGCATTTGGAGAGGGAAGGAAGAACATTACAAAAGTCACCCTGGCTGCTGCTACATGGAGGTGGATTGTTATGCTGAGGTCAAGGTGAAAAGCACTGTTAAGAGACAGGTCAGATTTTGCAAAGGACAAAAGGGAAGGCTTTGTTTATCACCATTTACTATCCTCACTCTTGAGAAGAAGGTCTTGGTATGGTAATGCCCATGTCTTTGATCACTCCAAGAGCCACTGGGATGGAAGACCAGCTGAAAGAGTGCAGGAAAGAATCAGTAGCAAGCACTGACCACATAGCAAAAAGCCATCTCTCATCTTAGGGAAGATAAGGGTCAAGTTCTCACCCTATCATGACCTTGCTGTGTGCTCGGCACATTGTCCCTGCATCTTAACTACTACTGTGGATAAGCCATACCCCTCAGGTGCCCAGCCAGGTAGAAGTCCAAAGAAAAAGACAGTGATGTCTTCACATATAAAAGGTAGGAGGAGAGAATTTGGCTATCTCCTTTGGCCTTTTGTTCCCTGTGTCTCAGCTGCAGAGACCTTTGCTTGCTGCTTCCGAAGTCCCTTCTTCAAAGCTACGCACAAGAATCATATTAACAAGAGCCAGAGGGCAGCACAGCCAGACAACTCTATCCACCACCCAAGACCACCAGAAGTCACCCCATTAGGGTGCCTAGCTACCTTCTCACCACTCATAGGCTTGTATGGCTTCAAGTAAGCACTCTAGTCTCGGCTGGTGTTAGTGAAAGAGAACTCAGTGTCAGAGCCTGTCAGCTTCCCCTGGCTAGGACAGGCGTTCACAGCTTTCCTGTCTTCTCTTTCGCACAAATATGTTTTTTCTCATCTCTCCTTCACTTCACTCTGACTCATTGTACTACAAATAAGCATCAGAATCTCACCTTGCAAGCTAAACCTTGGAGGGAAAGATGAGATCAACTCAGCAATCACTTTTCCTCAGGTTGTTTACCGGATGTTTGGATCTGAAATACAAAACAGGCACATTTTAGGACAGAGATTCTTTTCTCTCCCTTGAGGTGACTTGAAGAAAGATTTTCTCTTGCCACCAAGAATGCTGCATTGCTAAGCCTCCAAATATGATATGATCTTTTCAATATGCATCCAATGTAACAATTTTGCCAGCCTATTATCACTCTGGATTATTAAAAGAAACAAAATGCCTTACTCCTGCCCAGAGTGAAATGGGTAGCCATTAGTCTCTATCCTGAAATGCATCTGAATTTGAATGAAGATTTATTTTTGCTTAATCACTTAGCAACTATTCAATATTTGGGAGAACATGTTCACCAGGGTTCATGCAAAGCTTGAGATCATTCAAAACTTACAGCGTCCACATGCTTAATTCTCTCCAAGAATATTGGTACAAAAATGAGTCCCTATTAATTCTGCTGTGATCAGTTGCAGAGCTAAGATTTCAGTCTCTCTTCTCTCTATTCTGCCACTACACCAGTCCAGCTCTCCTCTGCAATTCCACTTGGCCTCCTAAGTAGCTGTTAGCCCTGAATCTCACCTTGCTTCCTCCAGTCTCCAATAAGTTCTCAAGAACAATCTTAAAACACAAAACTGACCCTCTCCAACTTAACACACTTTAGTATTTTTTTCCTACCAAATACATTGCAAATCTCTCAAGGCCTTAATGAGGCTGTGTGTGACCCAGCAGCCCTTCCTACCCTTCCTAGCCTCAATCCTCACAGTCCTTTGCCTCCCTTTCCATGTCCTCTACATGTGCTGATCCCTCTACCTGGAAATCTCCCCAACTCACATCTTTGGTTGATCATCCAGGACTCTGCTGAAATGGTACATCCTCAGCAAGGCTTCCTTGACGTTCTAGGTGAAGTTCAGGTCTCCTGGTGTATATTCACTTGGCACTCTGACCTTTCCCATCACATAACTCAGTTATAAATCCTTTTTTCAATGATCACCGAGCTCTGAGACAGCAAAGACCAGTTCTACTTAGTTCACAATTATATCGTGGGTAGTTAGCACAACCTAACATATGGAAAATAGTTACTAAACATCGCCTGGCTTCACAGAGCTTTTGGGAAATTAAGCAGCTACTCTTTAATCATAAATATGAGCTCTGGTATCTTTTATCCCTCCAGGAGCCACTGGGATCGAAGACCGGCTGCAGGAAGGAGTTCCAGATACGATTGCTGCCCTGCGGGAGGCTGGGATCCAGCTCTGGGTCTTGACAGGAGATAAACAAGAGACAGCAGTCAATATTGCCTACTCCTGCAGACTGTTAGACCAGGCTGACACTGTGTACTCCATTAATACAGAGAGTCAGGTGAGGCCAAATTAGGGAGCAAATGTTCAAGTACAGAGCAGACCCTGGCCAACAGAAGAGAGACTCAGGAGTAGAATTTGGGCACACAGGGAAAGTAAATATCCCTAACCCCAAAATATCACTGAATCTTGGCACTCAGAAGGTTCTGGAGTCATCCAGCCCAATATCCTCCACCCCACACATGGTCTTTAATCTTATTTCTGTCACCACTTGTTAGAAAGTTTTCTGTCTTCCCTAGCCCCACCCTTGCTACAATCTCCCCATTTTACAGATGAGGAAACTGAAAACTTTCAGGGCTTAGCCACTTGCCAAGGTTCATCCTGCTAACCCCTTCACCTTGAGTTTTGGTTGGTTTTCTGAGACAGGGTTGTGCTTTGTAGCCCAGGCTGGCCTCGAACTTGTAATCCTACTGCCTCATCCTGCCAAGTGACAGGACTACAGGTGCACACCAGCACCCCTGGCTGACTCTGCTAGTTTCTGGTAGGGCTAAGTCTAGAACTCTGTTCTCTTGCTGGGCTTAGTACTATTCACAGTCTACCATGCTGTTTATTCACAGAAACTCAATTGTCAGTTTCTTACTACATAATTAACCCACCCATTGAAAAAAGTCCCAATTAGAATGATGGAAGGGGTGAATTCAGGTATGACATATTTGCTATCATAAGAACTTTTTTTAAATGCCACAATGTACCCCCAGCACAACAATTAAAAAAATCCAATTAAGTTGAAATCAGCCTGAGTTTAAAATTTCAGCACCAATTTGTATGTCAGGTTAGTCTGTGGTAGGGTAGAAACTGGAAGGAAGGGATACATGAGGCTGTTGTGTTTTGATGGGATGGGAGAGAGGAAGGAAGAAGCAATGTCCTAAAGCAGATATTTTTCAGCCAAATATAGTGGGGATGGTAGGGAGTGAGATTTGGAGAGTGCCCTGTGAAATCTGAAGAAGCTGATTCCAAGCTAGCATACAATTTTGTTCTTAGGAGGGCACTTATTTTCCTAACACAAATTCCAGAAAGTAAAATTCCATCTTCCTGGCTGAGGAATATGGGAGGCAGGCACTGGTATGTCTGCCTGTCAAAGGGAGCAGGATTGGATTGGCTGGAAGATGCTGACAGAAACAACACCATATTGCAGGGTGGTGGACACAGGGCACCATACCAGTGACCTAGGTTATCCCTGGGGGAAAAAGATGAAGACAAAGTGGAGAACTGAAAGGAGCCAGAGAGGTCACCAGGGTCTCATTCTTCCTGTTTTGCCTGAGGGTGATCCAAATCTCAGAATAGAAATTTAGGAAGGTTTATATTTGGTTTTTATTCCATGAAGAAACCATATCCAAGTATCCGGAAAAAAACATAGTGTATATAATGAAAAATGCCTGTAGCCCTTCAGATGAATTAGAAAAAATCATTAACTCTAGATTTAACTCCACTGAAAATAATCTCCAGGAAAACTTTGCTATTATGCTTTGGAAAAAGTAATCTGAAGCTTGTTTGGGTGCTTGAGTTCTGTGATAGTGTTCGTGCACGCCTGCCCAGCTTGGGATGGAAATTCAGCTTGCAAGGATCCCCTCCCCTCCCCTCCCATGCCCCAGGTAATTGTAAAAGAAGGGGCATCTGAACTGTGGAGCAGCCAGCCCGAGTGAGATAGGGTGGGCTTTTGTGCAGTCTATTAAATGCAGTGCATTCCTATGGGAAGCTGAAGATGTTTGCTGCTTAACTAAAGTCCTTAAGAAACAGTAGGCTACGCTCCAAGTCACTGTCAACTCTTATAAAACTGCCTAAGACCCTCCAAGATGACACCTGAATTCTCATCCCTGCCTCTACCCCGGATCCTAATAAACCTGTAAGATTGATCTTTCTCATTCCTTTGCCTTGGAATAAGTGATGGATACATAAAAATGTTAAGCTAGAAATTAAGGAAATGCATAAAGTACAGTTTAATGTAATTACATCTTCAGTGGACATTTTCTCCAAAGGCCTTAATTTCCCTAATTAAGCATAAATTGATTTAGGGCTACTGTATCTTTCATGTGTATCTTAAAGCAATAAGCAAGTTATGGGACCTTTAGCTTCTGATCCATAGAAGAGAAAATAACTAACTCATCATTGGAAATGCTGATCTACCAAGGAATTTTTTAAAGGAACTAATAACAGACACTGTTATTATTAAAAATTAACATACAATAGAACATAACAAGATTCAAATACCATACTTCTTGAATTTCATTCTCCTCATCTGTAAAATAGGGATTAAAAATATTCATTTCACAGGCTACTAGGAGGATTAGAATGAGATCATAGAAGAAAAGTATTTAATAGTACTCTACTAATTACTTATTTCTGTGTAAAAAGTACCCCAAAGCTTAGCAGCTGGAACAGGCATTTCTGATCCCTGGTTTCTATTGGTTAGGATCTAATAGTGTCTGAGCAGGCTGCCTGTGGCTTGTGGTCACAGTTGAGATATGGACTCAGATGAGTGGGTGGTTTAAGCATAGGAAAGAGAATTATTATCGGGCCTTAGTTCTTAGCCCTCTGGGCCTTTCTTTAGGTTGCTACACAAGTTGACAGCTGGCTTCTCCCACTGCAAGCCATCCCAAGAAAAAGAGCATCAACGTAGAAAGGAGAAGCCACAGTTGTTATAACCTAACCTAGGAAGTAACACCTCATTTTTGTGGAATTGTCTTCATTGGAAAGGAGTCACTAGGTCTAATGTACACTCACTGGGAAGAGATTACACAGGGCATGAACACCAGTAAGTGGAGGTCATAAGAATCACCCTAGAGACCCCCTCACTCCAGAACCTGACATACACTACATGTTCTTTGACTAGTAGCTTTTATGATTAACCTAGAAAAGTTGGAAATAAGTGAATTCAGAGGTTTGATTTTGAAGGCGACATCTACAATGACTTGCTTTAGTCATACTAGAAGGATTTACATAATTGGTACCAAGCCCAACTTCTGACAAGAACAACCTTGTTCTCTTTCCCAGATAAGTACCTCTGCTGTAACCACTGACCTGTCCAGGCTCTGTGCGTAGCCTTTTGTCCTCAACACTCAATTTAGTATCTTCTAAAGGAAGACTCAGGATTAATGAACTTTGGCTGTATTTGCTCCAGAAGAAATTATTCCAGAGGTTCCCAGACAGAAATCTCTAGGTCAATGTTCCTCACACGTCACAAGTTTTGCCAAAATTCACACATACATTGTACTATTTTTTACTTAGTGATTTCATTTAAAGCAGCTCATCTGAATAATATTTTAGAAGAAATTGTTAACACTTTAGTAAATGAAGGGGATCTTCCCTTGCCATGGATAAAAGAACACTGTAAAATAAAGATCACATGACTAAAATGTTATTAAAATTGAATGCTGGGCTGGTGGAATGGCTTAAATGGTAGCATGCCTGCCTAGCAAGTATGAGGCCCTGAGTTCAAATCCCAATACTGCCAAAAAATGGAATACTGTTGTCATCTATTACTTTATCAAACTTTATTAAAAAGTGAAGTTCACATGAGTTAAAGATATTAAGAGTATAGTTAGAACCAAAATCTGATTTTATCTTTGATAATATTAAAAGTGATGAAAAAGAATTGATAAATACAGATGACTTTCTCACTATGCTTCAAAGCAAACATCAGGATAAATAAACAGTAGAGTTGGGGCATGGTGACACACGACTATAACCCCAGCACTTGAGACCTATGATAGGACGATCACGAGGTTGAGGCCAACCTGTGCTACATAGAGACCCTGCCTCAAAAAAAAAAAAAGAGTTCACTAAGAAGATTCTTCCCACCCATAGAATGTTCACAGTCATGGTTAGTTCAAACCAATATGGCCAACACTTCATACCCTTCCACGGAATAGACCAATGGATTAACATGAGGCAAATGTATTCTTTTCATTAGGAAACCATAGTTCAAATAGCAATGGTTCTGCCTCCATAGCTATGTCTGGTTGACCTTGGGTAAGTTACAAAAGAACTCATTGATTCAATTTCCTTATCTCTAAATTATAATCAGGAATGCCCAGAGAAATGTTCTAAGCCAAAAAAGAGAGCTGAAATGACCCGTGAGTTACTTACTACTTCTATATCATATTGTTCTCTGTAGGAAACCTGTGAATCCATCCTCAACTGTGCACTGGAAGAGGTAAAGCAATTCCATGAACCACAAAAGCAAGACCGCAAGCTCTTTGGGTTTCGTCCACCTTCCAAGACATCATCTACCACCTCAGAGCTATGGTTCCTGAAGTTGGATTGGTCATCGATGGGAAGGCATTGAATGCCATTTTCCAGGGACAGCTGGAGAAGAAGTTTCTGGAGTTGACCCAGTACTGCCGGTCTGTCCTGTGTTGCCGCTCCACCCCACTCCAGAAGAGCATGATCGTCAAGCTGGTGCGAGACAAGTTGAGCGTCATGACCCTCTCTATAGGTACTCACTGGGTTGTAAGTTGGCGGGGATGACCTGACCAAGGGCCTGGGCCAGAGGTGGGAGGTCAGGTATCAAAGAGACTGATGCTGAGGGTCATTGTCTTAAGAGAAAATTCAGAAGGACAATTGTAGCAACTGGGAGATGAAGCATAGGTCAACTGGAGTGGGACAGGGACTCAAAGCCCTCGGAACTGACAGCTGGCTAACGAAATATCAGGGTGGGGTCAATGCCAACCAGGGCCTTAAATTCCAAATGTGTAGGTAACTCAAGAAATGTTACTGTCAGCAATACAGTCAGGCCAGCTCCCTTCTAGGATGCAACTCGCTTCCCATCCAATATTCTACACAGGGCAATACGTAAGGTGTCTATAGCTTCAATATTCTTCCACATGTTAAAGGCTGGAAAGGAGGAAAGGAGGTTTCAAAAATTGGGATTGTTTTGCTTTTAATTGTGTATATTTATTCCCAAATGCAATGCCTGCACAGAGCATATCCTTAATCAGTGCTGGTTGGTTAATGAAGAATTGCTATGAGGGGAGTAAATTTTAACCATGTGAAAGAAGAAGAGAAATTAAAACTACTCGGGGAATACCTTCCAGGAACAACCAAGCCTGGCTTATAAGAGTGTTGATGGTGACTGGACTGGGGCATGGCTCACATGGTAGATAGAGCATTTGCCTAGCAAGTACAAGCCCCTGAGTTCAAACCCAGTACTACAAAAAAAAAAAAAAGAATGAAAGTAGGAATCCTCATGGTCAGATCTCTACTAACTCCCCAGTCACCTCTCATTGTAACCACCTTCGTCTTCTAACCATCCCCCATGGCCCTTGTCCGCTCTCACTTCAAGGCCTTTGCACAAGCTATTTCCCCTGGAAACTACTCTTTCCAATCCTACTTAACTTTCCTTTCCCCTGGGATTCCTATAACACCCAAACTCACAGATCCATGCACTGTTGTAGTGTCTTTTGTGGCCTCCACTGTAGCCTATGAGTGCCTAGAGTTAGAGAGACACGATCTGTTTTACTCATTGCTTGATCCCCTGCCCAGCACAGTGGACATTCCCTGTTTCTATGATCCAGACCCCCCCAGGAAAAAGAGGAAGCACATAGTAAAGATGACAGTCCCATCTTAGCCATGTTTCACTTTTGTGCAGTCAACTGGGGTCCAAAAATGGTGAAAAAACAGTTCATAAGCTTTAACTAACTTTTACTATAATATATTGTCATAATTTATATAATGTTCTGTTTTATTGGTTATTGTTCACTTATCATACCCAATTTAAAAATTAATCTTTATTATAATTACATATAGGGGAAACATAATATATATGGTTTAGTATATAGGGTTCATTACCATCTACAGTTTTAGCCATCCACAGAGTCTTGGAACATATTCCAATTCTGTTACTATAATCCTTTCACTTAGGGACATTTCTATACAGGAATGCAAAGAGATTTTCTTTTCTGTATTTCAAAGGAGATCTAGCTGAGTGTTGGGGTCTAAGGGAGGAGAATTGCAAATTCAAGGCCAGCTTGGTCTACATAGTGAGACCCTGTCTCAAAAAAAAAAAAAAAAGATCTGTAAATATTATGGTTCTTCCCCTGGTCTTCATGTGAAAACAATTCAAAATTTTGAAAGTGGAGGAAGCAGGAACAATACAAGGAGCAGAACCTTAGCAACTGCATCACACCTTTATACCTTTACACACACACACACACACACACACACACACACACACACACACACACACACGAGCAGAAGCCCAGCCTTTGAGTCTCTGAGGTCAGAGCCTGGCTTCACTCCCATAGCAACAGAAACAAAACCAGCCAGGCAAGGAGTATCACGATTTTCACACCCCTACTTCTCCTGGTACATTAACAGAAGAAGTTAAAAGTTTAACTTGTTCAGCCACAGAACGGATTAAGATTATGCACTGCTGTGATATTAAGAAAAAATTATTATAAGAACAGAGTCTATCTATAATGTCAAATTTTAGGGTTTCTTAATTGTGCAAACTTATGGGGTACAACATTAGTGTCAACATTTTAATGGTTGACATACTTGTTGCCAGGTATTAGGGGAAAATTATTGTTTCTCCTCTCCGATTCTGCATCCTCTGATGAATAATATAAACTTAATTGCAGCTTATTCTGAGAAGCTACTAGAAAAAGAAGTGGGCCGGGGGAGAAAACAGGCTGCAAAGTCAACAATAGGGGTTGGTGAGCCTCAGCCCATAGGCTGAAACTAGCCCACTGCCTGGCTTTTTTGTTTCCATGTATATACGTATTACAACCCCAATTGGTTCATCTCTTCCAGTCTTCTTCAATCTTCCCTAATCCACTGTCTGGTTTTGTATGGAAGCTAAGAATGGTTTTTATATTTTTAATGTAAATTTTATAGCTATCAGCCTTTCAGCAAGAACAGTTGTTCGATTTTCTGTCGTGGATTGTGAAGGCTAAAATATTTTCCATCCAACCCTTTTAGAGTTTCATTTGCAGAATTCTGGTTTAAAAGATAAAGCATTGTTTAAAGCCTTACAACATAGATCTGTGTAGGAGCTATACATGGCTATGTAATTAGGTAGAATTTCACCAGCACATTTCAATAGCCATATGTGGTTAGTAGTTTCCATATGAACAGTATGGATACCAAACATTTCCCTCATTACAGAAGGACTATTTGACAGTCCTGATCTCCAGAAACAACTCAGTTCTTTGAACAGAAATTCAAGGTGACTAATGTATCTCAACCAAAAAAAGTTAATCCTTCTCCTTGGACATCACTCAGTCTCTGATGATTTCGCTGTCTTGACATGGCTAGAATTCAAATCATTCTGAGGTAGGGAAGTGTATTGTTCCTGGAATCAGGAAGATCTGAGTTCCAATTCTGCTGCATCTCTTCAGCAGCTGGATTCCTTTTCCCAGGACTCCTAGTTGCTCAAGCATTCCGTGTGTTCATCAGTAAAGCCCATGCTACCATTTCCCTTTTGTTTTGTTTTGTAAATATGCATTTTATTAGCATGTATTAATTGTACAACAGGTTTGCAACATGTGGTTTCACACATGCGTATGTTACACATTGATCATATTAACCTGTCATATAGCTCTTTTCCCCTCTCCCAACCTATTTTTCAACAGCTTGCAGGGAGTTGCCATGTGGCACCTTCATACACAGATACAAAGTGTTTTGGCACTGCACCCCCCCATCACACTCTTTCCCTCCTCCCTTTCATTCCCCCAGACCGTCCCTCAATTGCAGTCATGTTTTTGTATATGTGAATGTATTATATACACACATCTATGCATATGTAGACATACATGTATACATACATAGGGTATAGATGCCACAGTTGCCTTTTTATAAACTGTAAAGGACTCCCATGGCTCTCTTGATTGCCACTGTATCCCTAATATTTAATATTGTGCCCAGAAAATAATGTGTTGAGCAATAAGGGGAAAAGCTGTGCTTCTCATCCATAGGAAAAAAAGAAAAAGACATCTCTCAGGCCACATACTGTAGCAGCGACTTCCTGTGTGACTATTTAGAGTAATGTTAAAAGGATTCAACTCTGTAGAAATGGGGACACTTTAAAGAGATCTCACTGTCTCTGAGCAGTTGGGCCAGGAATGAAGGCACCTCATGACCTTCTTGTTTCAGGCGATGGAGCAAATGACGTAAGCATGATTCAAGCTGCTGATATTGGCATTGGAATTGCTGGGCAGGAAGGCATGCAGGTACTGTTCACTTCCGCTGTTCTTGTTTCTTCCCTACTCTCCTCTGTCCTTACTGGAGATCTGAGGGATAGCCCCACAAGGAACCGTCCATGCCTCTACCAGACCACCACAACGTCCCACACCCAGTCCTTCAAAAACAGATCAAAAGATGTCTGTCTTTTTACACAAAGGCAATGATACCTGTAATCTAAAGGCAAATAGCTCCTAAAATATAAACCCTCCCCTGACTCACCACCCACATCCTAAGTTACCTCCATAAGCTGTGCAGACATAAGGACATTTAAAAACATTCTCCACTTTCCATTTTAGACTCAGTATACTTTCATGGTGTAACTAATCTACTCAAAAGTCAGCTTGGAACAGGAGTAGTAACTCGAGCTGCTGTTCTTTCCCATTAAAATGGACCCCCATTTCGTGGCTTTTGAATCATCAACAATTGTTTTCCCACTATCAGTGCAGACATTGCTTAAATTTCTTGGTGAGGATCAAAGAGCATTGATAAGGAGGTCACTGAATCACTCTACACCTTGAGCCTCTGCCACATGTCGGTACTCTGTTAGATATTTCACATTATCCCCTTGGCTTTTAATAATCGCCACAACTCTGTGTGTTAGAGATTGTTATTCCATTGTGTCAGATAGAGAAACTGAGGCTCGTGGAGTTGAAATACATAACCAAGATTTCTAACGAGGCATGTCCAAATCTCATATTCTTAAAAAGAGTACTCTAGACTTTATCTTATTAGAAATAATCCCAAGAGGAGGAAACATTTCAAACTCTAATAAAGGAAGAACTAGCCACCACCAGCTCCAATGGCTTGCCTCCGAAGTGATGAAGGGAGCTCAGAGGTTTGAGAAGTACCTGACTTGAAGTCACTCTTCAGTAATCATCACATCCTAGAATGAAGCCTGACACACATAGCTAATGAAACTTTGCTGGATTAATGGATGGAGATGATGGCCAGCCTGGACCACTGGTCCTTTCTGGTCTGCCTTTCTTGAATTCTAGTGAGGTTTAGATTTCTCAGAAGATAGAGTGGGGTATCAGGATCCACAAGTGCCACGCAACAGTGACCACAGAATGACAATTTTCAGACCCTGCAGACCTAGAGTAAAGCACTGCTCTTGAGGGAGGCTCTTGGGGCAACGGTGGCCACAGATGGAAGCCAATGTCTCTCCCCCTTCAGGCCGTCATGTCCAGCGACTTTGCCATCTCCCGCTTCAAGCACCTTAAGAAGCTTTTGCTTGTACATGGCCACTGGTGTTACTCACGCCTGGCCAGGATGGTGGTGTACTACTTCTACAAGAACGTGGTGAGTAGCCCTACTGTGACCTCCTACCTTGGCCTTGGAGTCCTTGCCAAGGCCAGATCTTCTCCCAGCAGTGGACCAAGCATCTCAGCATCAGGGAGTTAGGCTGACCTAAATTGTAAGTCCTAAAAGGGCCCTTACTAGCTCTGTGACTTTGGGCAAGACTGTTCACTTCTCTGGGCTACAATTTCTTCTTTGATAGAAAGGGTTCATATTCTCTGTGAAGTTATTGTGAGAATTAGGAGTGCTGTGTGGAAAACACCTGACACGGTGGGCAGTATAAATGACTATGAGCATGGGTCAGACACATTGGGTTCCAATCCAGTTTCCCTTATTTGGTAATGTACCTAAACCTCAGTTTTACCATCTGTAAATTACATGTGGCAATAGTACCTTTCTCAAATATGTGCTGTCAGCTTTCCATCACTGTGACAGAATGCCTGAGCTAATCAACTTATAAGAAGGTGGATTTTTGCTCACTGTTTTGAAAGTTTCAGTCCATGGTTGGTTAGCCCATTGATTTTGTGCCTGTGGCAAGCCAGCACATCCTAGAGGGAGCATATGGCAGAGGAAGCTGCTCACCTCATGGCAATCAAGAAGTGAGAGAGAGAGAAAATAGATGGAATCCCAAAATCCTCATCAATGGCACACTTCTCACCAGGTCCCACCTCTTAAAGGTTCCATTACTGCTCAATAACATGATAAGCTGGTGAGCAAGCCTCTAGCTCATGGGTCTTTGGGAGACACTCATCCAAACTGTAGTATGTGCTACAGCTTATATATAATAAGTGATTGGCATGCAGTAATAGCTATAATGTTAGTTGCTAATTTTTTTATCATCATAGCTATCACTAGTACTGGGGTTAAACTTCATGAAGAAGGATTTGAAAAGCAGCTAGCCTGACTTGCATCTTAGATTTTTCTCCCCAGATGGAGCCATCCCAATGCAAGAGCTGCATCCCTTGCCTTGGGAGAGTGAAAACGCCTCACAGAATGTAGGCTGGAGCTTAAGGCTTCTACCTGAGACCTGCATATCACGTGAGCACCTCCAGGCTTCCGTACAGCAGAGGTCCTGGAAGGCAGGATGCTAAATGAAATGTCTATTGGCAAAGATGTTTGGGATGGGGACATCATCTGAGTTGTAATGTTGCCTGACTAACATGCTGGGTGACCTTCTCTGAGCCTGAGTTTCCTCACCAATAATAGAGAGAGATAATGACTCTGTCCCTAGAAGTATTAAGAAGTTTGACATATGTTGGTTTCTGTACCTGTTTATCAGATACTAAAGCAAGCACACACCAACTGGTGTATTAAAACTGCCAGGGGCTCCTGTTTAAAAAGTCTGTGATTAACAGTGGGTATAGGAAGACGTTGAACACCACTGTACTAAGCAAAGAACAAAGGTCTGAGTTTTTCATTCCCTAGTTCAAGGACCTTTGAATAATTCTCCAGGAACCTCCAAATACAATATGAGTCCCTTTGCATAAGAAAAAAGGGAAGATTAAGACCAGGCTGATGGAAGAAAAACACATTAGCCAAGAAGCGGCTGCAAAACTGTATTTTCCTCTTGCTCCTGGTCCTTTCAGTGTCGCTCGGGAGTGAGCCTTTCCGTGCAAATTTTGATGCATATATAAATAAACAGCATGACAAAAAATAATGTAAATTCAATCAACTGGATGATAATATTATCACAGCAAGTCTAGGCAAACAAGTCACTTTGTTTGACTTGTAACTTACTCTGAGCAAGAAAGACTATTTACTTAGAATTCAAAACACTCTATTTTTTTTGCATCCAAAGGAATCAGTCTTTTGAATAAGCACAGCCTCTTCTCTGCATTAAATCTGTGAAACAGAAAGGAAAGATCTCCAGCCAGCCACGCTTTCAAAGCTTAAGTGATATTTATTTCCAGCCCGAAATTGCAATACTGATGCCACATTACCTCTCCGCTGCAATTAGAGGGTGGAGAACTGTGACTTCCACATCCGAAACCAATTGCAGAGGGGATTAAAACCCTGCCTGCTCTGAAATGTGAACAATGAATTGATTATTGCAGTGTAGCTTCTTGGGAGAAAGAGCAAGCATCCGATGTCAGGAATGCTGCTGTGGGCTTTGGTGCACGCTCTGAACAGTGCAGATTCCAGCCAAGAAGTAGAATCCAGGCAAGATTCCACCAGGACCTCAGGAGGAAGGCGACACTCTGCAGTGTTCCAAATCCAGGACAAGGTCAGGACAGGAGAATTGGGGTTCACTTCACCTATTCAAATACCTGTTGAATGTCTGCCGTGTTGCAGGCACAAGACTGGGAAAAGGGTGTAGGGCAGGGATGGAGGCAGTTAGTAGCCTCCCTGCTGTCACGAGGCTCGTGGTCTCTCAGAGCTCCACAAGCTTTTGCTATAAGAGGCCGTAGCTGCCTAGAAGAATCCACTGTGTAAGCCAAAGTTAGGACCAAGAAAGCTTGAGAATGGAAGAGAAAGAGCTTTGAAAACTCTGGCTAAAAGCAGCTGTGTATCTCAGAGCCTCACAGCCTCTATAGATTGGGGCTAATAAATATAGTATTAGCAATAATCTTGCAAAGTGGTTAGGACAAGTTATAATATCTTCGCATCTAATTTTCTAGAGACAAATAGAGTGATATTCTATGCTGTGTATCACACAAATATAGAAGCCCAAATAAGCGTGGCTGGTGTTAGGACTGATGATAAAATTATCACGTTCAAAATTATAATAAATTGAGAACCTCTTCAAACTAGCATTGGCCCTGCTAAGCATGGTGGCACTACCTATAATCTCAGCAGTCAAAAGGTGTAAGCAGGAGGATTGCAAGTTCAAGGCCAGCCTGACTACATTGTGAGAACCTGTCTCAAAAAAATAATATTGGTCCAGCAGTTAGGAAATGTGACTTCTAGTTTGAACACATATCTGCTAAATGATTTCTTGTAAGACCCTTCCCATCTCTATGCCTTGGAACTAGAACTTCACAGTTTATGAGGCTAACACCAGAACCTTGGTGGAGACACCAAACCACTTCACAATACAGTAGACAAGAGGGACCCCAGTAGGGCAATAGAGTGACAAAGAACACTTGAAAAAATAATGTAATATTTAAGCAGATTTTCTTATTCACTGGTACTTCTGAGTTAGATGGCAAGTAGCATGATAAACCTTCTCATGGCTGGTCCCTTCCTCGCCATGTGGCTACCAGTCACGTACCAAATGCCATGGTCTAGGTATTTCTGTTCCCATAACAGATGACAATATGCTCAGAAAGATGAATCCGTTTGCTCACGGTCACACAGCTTGTAAGTGACACACCTGAGGATTTAAAACCAGGTCTGCCTCTGCTTCCAAAACCTGTGCTCTTTACCATACAGTAGTAATGAAGTCATGACAAGCAGCATCTGTTCCAAGGATTAATTACACAACCCTGCATGGTACAAGTTAGGTAACAGGAGCCCCTGAGCAGCCACTGGTGGCTGGCAGCACCCTTCCTCACAAAGTCATGCTCTTTGCCTGCAGTGCTACGTCAACCTTCTTTTCTGGTATCAGTTCTTCTGTGGTTTCTCTGGCTCCACCATGATCGATTACTGGCAGATGATATTCTTCAATCTCTTCTTCACCTCTTTGCCTCCTATCATCTTCGGAGTCCTCGATAAAGATGTCTCTGCAGAAACTCTCCTGGCATTGCCTGAACTGTACAAGAGTGGCCAAAATTCTGAGGTAAGGAGCCCAGGCAAGCAGGGAAAGGTGGCTCAGCTTCTTCCTGAACTCCCCCTGCAGTTCAGAGAAACAACACCAGGCTGGGGTTCAGAAACCCTGTGTTCTAGCCACCATTCTGCCACTTGCCTCCTGAATAACTCTTTTCCTGGCCTGTGTCTCATTTGCCACTAACGGTGTTAGATAAGACCAGTGAGTATACTTTCTTGACTCATCACAGGTTAATGTGACTGCCTTAGTTGAAGGGGGGGAAGAGCATGCAGGAAGATACCCATCCCTCTAGAACCTGAGGTACATAAATTAAACCCTGAAGGCCTAGCACTAGTCTATTTTCTTTTTCTATAACAAAATACCTGGAACTGGGTAATATGTAAAGAAAACTTTTATTTAACTCAGTTATAGAGGCTGAAATTTCAAGATCAGCCAGGCCTATCTGTTCAAACTCTGGCGAGGGGCCCTTTGGAAATGATCATGATGGGACAGGTGGGAGGAGGAGAGATCACATGGTAAGACAGGAAGCCAGAAGGATTCATGGGTTGGGTTTATTCTCTCTGGTGGGAACTAAGTCACTGTGAAACCAGCATTAATTCCATCTAAGACTGCACCCCGAATGATCTAACTGGCCCCACCGCTTAACATTATCACACTGAGGACCAAGCTTCCAACCCAGGAACTCTTGGAGGACACAACCAAACCATAGTAACCTGGTTTGAGAAACCCAAGGTTGACAATTAATTTGCTCAATGGATTAGACACTTAAATGAATACTTCTGCCTCACATCGGGTAAGGCAAAACTTTGAACTCAAGAATACACGTGGCCTAGAACTTGCTGGACTTAAGTACACTAAGAAGGCTTGAGATACCATTAGGTGGCTTTCTAGAAAGCCCAAGGGGTCCCCATTGCTGTCCTAAATGACTTGGAGAATTCAGACAGCAGACACACTGGGCTCAGGCAGAAGAGAGGGACTTTGACACACCTGAGAGTACAGTGCCTTAGCTCCTGGGACAAAGGAGAGCAAAGTTGGATGTGACAGTTAAGAGATGCGGGTATTATGTGGACAGCCATCAGTCAATTAAGCCCAGTCCTGAAGCATGGATGAGAGAGAAAACAACACCACAGTCTGAGCAGTTCAGGCCAAAAAGCTATGGGGGTAACACATGTCTGTCTTGGGTTCTTCTACCACTACCCTCCCCGGAGTGCACTGACAGCATAACACAGTCCTTAAGTGTCTGTCAGTTGCAGAAGTTGATAGGAAAAACAAACTGTAAGGCTTCCTTTTTCCCCAGGAAGGCAGAAAGTAAAGGACAAACGTTGAGCTCAGTCTCTCTAGGCCGCAATTGAGCTCTCCTGTTTGGATGCTACGTGGCAACTTTCGAATCTCTGCCAGGATGGTATTAGCAAGAAGACCTAGTGAATGGTAACCAATAACTGAGCACGTTCCAAATAGGCACAATTGTATTTAGTCCTCTTGAATCCCAGGGAAAGAGTGGTTTTTTTATCACATTTTATGGAAAAAGAAACACATTCTCAGAACAGCTCAATAATTTTTACAAGATCACACAGTGAGTGGCACAGCTGGGAATTGAACTTAGGTCTGACACCCCCAACCCTGGGCTCTTCACCACTCCATTCTCTTGTGGCTAAGATAAGAAGCCTTGAAACCATCACATCACGTGCCTACCAAGCACAGGAAAGATGCTTGCTGTGACAGAACAAGCTTGCTGTGCTGGCAGTAACTGTGGTGTGCTCTCCCCTGGCAGTGCTACAACACGATGACCTTCTGGATTTCCATGCTGGATGCATTCTACCAGAGCCTCGTGTGTTTCTTTATCCCTTACCTGGTAAGTCACGAGTCCCATTCTACACACCTGAATCACAGTGTGCAACTGGTGTTGGTTATACAAAATTCCAGACTCATCATGTCTTTGAGTACTTCAGAGCAGAGGCTCCAAACTGGTGACTCCAGGGCACATTCAACCCAGGGTAGTTGAGAAAGTGAAACACTTCACCCAAGCATTTTAATTTTCAATGGTTCTTTCAAAACAAGAAGCTACCATTACAATGGGTCATTTTACCCTCCTGCCAAAGATCCAGAGTTGACTCAAGCCCTGCTTAGATGGGGAACAGGTTGTCTAATACCATACTCCCCACCATTCCCACTTTGCACTACACCTGGACTTCTTCACTCCTTTACTGCTTCCTGATGGGTTGTTGAGGATCTTTGAATTTACAGTCCTTGATTTGTGGTTCCACGATCAAGGCAGCATGTTTTGATAATAAGTGATACATTATCTTCAATAAATAGCAATTATAGATGATAAAGAATGCCAGCCCCACTTTAAACTGTGAGAATTTAGATATTCTTCCTGAAGAGGGGCCAACTGCCATCAGATAAACAAGGACGCACACCCAACCTCTGAGCTCCTCCTTTGTTCAAATCTCCTAGCTTGCAGAACCCTTCCATCCTAACCAGGGCTCTGATTACCTTTCCTGCTTGATGTTTTGTACCTTCCAAATCCTCAAAAGACCTACCACATAAGACTCTTTGGAGTTCTATGACCCCCACCATGTCATCCTCAGTTCTTACCTTTGCCCAGACTGCATTTCCTTCCTTTTTCAGGTGATTACTCTTCTTATTCTGGTTTCAGCTGATAAAGCCTCTCTTCTGTGTTCCAGGGTACTTGTCCTTGCCTCTACTGTAGCAGTCACCTTCTTAAACTGTACCACATCTGCCCTGCCTAATAGACTGAATTCCTTGAATGTAGACATAGACATATCCTCAGCAATCAGCACAGTGTCTGGTGGATGCTCAAGGACTCCCTTATTAATTCATTCTACAATGGTTTGACAACCCTCATCATGGCTTCCTCTGGCCAAACATGTTTTCAAACAGTCTGGTCCACTCATTTCTCATATGGATAGCACCTGGATCCCTTCTCCTCACCCTGTTCCCTTGCCTCCCTGTACACCTGCCTTCACTGAGGCTTTAAGTCACTGTACCAAAGGCAAAGCCTCTCATCACACCTATGGGCATATAGACACCTGTTTGTTCCTCCTCTGCAGACCTACAAAGACTCTGATATTGATGTCTTTACCTTCGGGACGCCAGTCAACACCATCTCCCTCATCACAATCCTCCTGCACCAGGCAATGGAAATGAAGACTTGGGTAAGGGTCCCAAAGCCCCTTTATCATAAAAATTGTGATCCTGGCCACTGACTACAGGCAGATTTCTGCGTTATTTCATCTGTTGTCAATCCACTCAGTAAATACTCACTGAGCTCCTCTCTGTGAAGGGATGAAGTTGGTGAAGATAAAATTCCTGACCTCACCATGCACATCATTTTGCCAGGATGGCAAGACTAACACACATAAAGCAAGGAGACAGTTAGTTGTAAAAATAAGCCATATTGATAAAAATTTCAGGAGCATGTGGGGAAGGTTAGCCTGGCCACACCTGAGGCTGTGTAAGAGGGACTAGTTCTCATTTAACTTCAGAGTGCAAAATTAGAAAGCTACCTTCAGGTCACCGCATCTCACCTGTGTGAAATATCACATTTTGATATCTGAAGAGTCAATACTAGACTTCTCATTGACAATTCTAGTTGCTCATAACTATAAAAAGAGCTTAAACTACATGCTAGGTACCTATGTAAATGGTTTGTATGCATTATCTCATATCTCATAACAGAGCCCTTGTTAGATATATTTCCATTTTATAAGGTTTAGAAATAGGTGCAGCAACTTAAGAAACTACCCCCAATCAGTGTGAGAATTAGGTTTTGATCCCTGTCAGCCTAACTCTGGAGTTTAACCACTTTGCTAACAGCGTGAAGAGGTAAGATTTAACATTGCATGGTACAGAAAGAGCTGTCCTTAGCCACAATGAAATGGCTCTTTCTGAAGGCCTATGTAGTAAAGTTTTGAAAAATTGCCCCCCAAGTACGCTCAACACGTTCTTGCATTTGGCAAAGGACCATCTACCACCACCATCACAAGCTTCCCCAGGCTGTGACTAGTTGGGGCTGATAAGAGTTGCCCAAAGAAAAATCTTCATCACAGAGTTCCCATTATAAAAAGCCTTTGTGCTCCAATGCATCTAGTGACAGAACAAAGAGATAAACCAGAGAGGCTGCAACACAATCAGGCAGAGGTCAGGTACTGAGTAAGCTCAAATTGCAGGTTCTCTGGGAGCCTGGATAGGACGCAGACCATGGTCAAGACCATGGTCATAGAGTCTGGCTCCTGTGGAGTTGGGGAAACAGGAGCCAAAATGTTTGGTCCAACTTCCCCCAAAGAAAGTAAGCTTTTAAAAAAAGGAGAGAGGCAATGGCAAGCTGCTTAGAGTCCGTTGTACCAGCATGTGAGCGAAGGGCGCAAGAGTCAGACATGACTCTTTTAGAACTTTTTAAATTAGAAGTGGAGTCCACACTAGATCAGAAACTGGCAAAATTGAAAAGTAGTACTGGAAATCATCTAGAATTCCATACAAATATGAAGAAGTAATGGAGACGAATGGTAGCTAGAATGAAGGACTCTAGCTCCACATAGTAGGAATCATGGAAGAAGAAAAAGTAAAGAATCAACATTTGAAGCGCTGATTATTGAAAAGGAAAATTCATCAAAATCTGGCTATATCACTTGGCTGTGTTATAGTGGAACTACACAATGTAAGAGACACAGAGATGACCTTAAAGTCTCCCAGAGGCTGTGGGCAAGTTATTTGAAATGGAGCTACAGCTACTATGGCAACCAAACAAAAGCTGCCAGAAAGCAAAAGTAGAATTATCTTCAAAGACATAAGGAGAGATAACTGAAGCAGCTACTATATTTGCATGTATGAAAATATGCACCATTAATATGTACAGTTAATACATGCTAACTGCTGGAGGTGCAGCTCAAACAGTAGAGCACCTGCCTAGCAAGCATGAGGCCCTGAGTTCAAACCCCAGTGCTGTAAAAAAAAAAAAAAGTTAACTAAAAAAGAGGGCAAAATAAACAACATTTTCAGATAAACTGAAACTATGAAGTTTATCATCCACAGACCCTTACTAAAAGAAGGAATATCCTTTAGTTAAAAACCTCATAAAAAGCTAGAACTAAGAAATTGCCTGATGTCAAGGAAGGATTGGTCAATGGGTAATTAGGTTAAAGCCTTTATCATAGAGGGGAGAATAGAAGAGCACATTTAACTCTTCATTTTCCCACAAAAGTCCACATTTATTTATATCTTTAAAAGTTAAGGTTATACTAGTCTACATTCCCACCAACAGTGTAAGAGGGTTCCTTTTTCCCCACATCCTCGCCAACACCTGTTGTTGGTGGTGTTGCTGATGATG